TGAAAAGCTTGGTTTTCAAAAATTAAAGATTTTAAAGATTTTAAGGATTTTTAAAATTTTAAATCGTTAGGTCTGGGCTCCAGGCCACCGACACCTATTTAAAATCTTAAAAATCTTTAAAATCTTTAAAATCTTTAAAATCTGAAAAGCTTGGTTTTCAAAAATTAAAGATTTTAAAGATTTTAAAAGCCTTTAAAATCTTTAAAATCTGAAAAGCTTGGTTTTCAAAAATTAAAGATTTTAAAAGCATCTGAAATCTTTAAAATCCTTAAAAATCTGAAAAGCTTGAATTGATATAGTATTGATAAACAAAGCAAAGCCATACGTCAAATAGACCCTAAAGGTCCTACGTACATATGCATACATGTGTATGTAGATATACATAGCTAGAACTCATTGTATGTGTTCCACGTATACATATATGTATATACATACATGTATATGTGTATTAAGTATTTTTGTGGGTGCTTGTATATTTACATGTAACCCAAAGCCGCCTAAATAACATAAGCAACCAAAAGAGCCCAAACCTATCAACCTGAAGCCCCGAAGTATGAATACCCCTTAACCCCAGAGCCAAACAAGAAACCCAAACCTGCAAACCCGGAAACCCTAAGCTAGGAACAACCCGGCCCCCCTCGCTTTATGTTTGGGCCACGCAGGCTAAGATATATGGTGAACGGTTTTCGCCGAATGGCGGAGTGTTAACGACGTATATGGTGAAACGAAATTGCCAAGGGTTGTTTAACACGTATCATGAGCCGTTATCGCCAAATGAGGGGGCGCGTTTATCATCTATGTTGAACATCGCCAATTGAGGGTGGTGTGTTTATCTCTAGGCTGACCCGGAGTTACCATTTAAGGGGGGGTGCTTGCCGCTTGCAAGTGCGTTTGCAAATGGGGGGCTGCGCCCCCCCCAACCCCCCCGCTTTCTTCAGCCCCGTAGTGAACTTGCTTTAGCGAACGTCGTGCCATCAAGAACGCTTTCTGGCCATTGGCGGTTGGTCGTAGCAAGTCAAGCGCCTAACATATATGAGACGTTTCACAGCTCGTCCTAGGGGCCCAACCCCCTCCCCCGTGCTTTATGTTTGGGCCGCGGTGAATGGTTTTCTCCGAATGAGGGGGTCTTGAATAGATATATGGTGAACCGAAATTACCAAATAAGGGGGAGTGCTTCATATATATATATATATATATATATATACATATATATTATATGTATATATATTATATGTATATGATATATGGTTAAAGGGTGATCCGGAATCGCCAGGTGAGGGGCTTGTTTAAGACGTATCATGGACCGCTAACCGCTATCGCCGAATGAGGGGACATGTTTAACGTAGCATGTATGTTGAACCGTTATCGCCAATTGGGGGGGCTGTTTCAAGACATAGGAGGACCCGGAATTCCCAAATAAGGGGGCGTGCTTTAGATATGGTGAACCGGAACTACCAAATCAGGGGCGTTCTTCAGATATATGGTTCAGGATATATAATGTACCGAAATAACCAGAATCGCCGAATCAGCGGGCGCGTTTAAGATATTTGGAGAACCGGTTTCGCCAAACGAGGGGGCGTGTTTAAGATGTATGATGAACCGGAATCGCCGAATCAGGGGGCGTGTTTTAAGATATATGATGAGCTGATATGAGCTGTGAAGCTGTAATGACCAAAAGAGGGGGCGCGTCAAAGGTTATATATATATATATATATATTTGTATATATACACACATACATATGATGAGCCGTTATCGCCGAATGATGGGCGCGTTCAGGATATATGATGAACCGATATCACCAAAAGAGGGGGCATGATTAAGGCATATGGTGGACGGTTATCGCCGAACGAGGGGGCGTGTTAAAGATATATGGTGAGCCGGAATTACCAAACACGGGGGCGTGTCCAAGATATGTGGTATAGTCATATCTATGGTGTACCCCAATCTCCAAATGAGGCCGTGTGCTTAAGATGTGATGAATCGCCGGTCCTGTTTTGCATTGCGTTTGCAAACCAGGGGGGGCGTTTTATATTTTTTCTTGAAATTTTTCAAGTGTTCCGGATCCATCATAGGCAAAGAGGGGGGGTCCCTGCTTCGTGACACCGCGCAGGCTCGCTTCAAACATCATCTTGCCAGCAAAAACAGAGTCCATATAAACGTGATGCATACGTACATTGGGTTTGCAACCGGGGGGCTGCGCCCAACGCCCCCGCAACCGCCCACTTTCTTTATGCCGTGCATGGCTTGCCGCCGAGAAGAATTCCGTCAATCACATGACTCTTCGTCAAGAAGGAATTGCGTCAATCACATGTTTCTTAATTGAAAGTTTCGAGTGTTCCAGATCCATCATACACGGTGCAAGTTCTCGACAACCCAGGCCCAGAAAACCATAAAACATACCCAAAAAAGTCCAAAATCAGGCCCCTCCGCGTGACCCTTACAGGGTTTTCTACATTCCAGGCACAGACAACCATAAAAAATACCCAAATAAAACCATAAAAAATACAAAAAAAATTTGGACCCCAGTCAAGCTCCTTCGAAGTCAGAAAATGGTGGATGACGAGGTGTATGCCATTGTTCGGTTGAGCCTATGCCTGGAAGGCAGTTAGGCCACTCCTACGAGGAGTGGTGCAGTATCGCAAAATGACATGGCCGAATCACCATCATGCAAGCTTGTCACTTCGTTTTCTTTCGCACAGCCTGCACAGCTCCTTTGTCTCGTCTGTGGACATGTGTCTCAACTCCTTGCTACTTCGCTTCCGCAAGTTACTCGTTCCACTTCACCTTCCTAGCTCACGAGTTCGCGAGGCTTCACTACAGTCATGTAAGGACCTCCTGCACAACGTGCATGCGTGGAATAAGTCTCTTCTGAGCGAATGGGAAGCATGTCTTGCAAGTGCTCGAGTCTGAATCTTCCTGATGATTGCCTAGTGGATGGGCACCTGGCTGCTGGTATTGAACTGCTTGGACAATTGCATGAGGATTTGTGATATTTGGGGCAAGGCAGCGCCAACTCCACATTCTTTCCGTCCGGAACAAAGTACCTTTCCGATTCGCTTGCACGCTTTGAGCAGTGGAGACGCATTCATGGGTTTCCGGCCTCCGTGACTCAGTCCTTTAAAGAATTTAGGGACTGCGCTGCGTTGGACGGTGGTAAAAAGGTCCGTGGAAAAAAATGAATTTCTGATGCAGCAGTGGAAGCTTCATGAGAGCAGCGTTGTTGAAGAGTCCCGTCTTGATTGGAAACGTGTGCAGAACTGCAAGAAAGCACTCAAGAGCTTTGTTGTTCACTGTGAAGACCATCACCCTAATCATTTGATGGTGTTCTGTCCTCAGTTCTACTTTGCGAGCGTTGGTCGCACATGGGCAGATCCGTTTGTCTTCCAGCAGCTTCATATGAGTTCTGCAGAGTTGAAGTCTTGGATGTTTGCACAGATCCCCAAGCAAATCAAACAACGCTACCCATGGGGAGTGGATGACACTGGCAGTTTGCCCATAGGCTTTGTCTTGCTGAAGCGCAAAAAGTGTTTTCGCAAAGGACGTACCTATTTACATGCCCCTCTTCGTCGACTGTTAGCAGGTGCAGCGTATGCTATTCAGTTGATGTTGGGGACTGTCTGGCAAGGACTTGACCTGAGTCTTCCGGTCATCTGGCAGCGGATTCATCAGTACTTTCGGGACATGCCTCCTTCAGTGGAGCTGCTTTGCTTGAGTGTTTATCAACACCAGACTGGAGTGCAAGTTTTGAGTTGCGAAAGAGCACTGCTTCTGCACAACGCGCGCTGCCACACCAGCCAAGAGGTGGGAATTCCGTGCTCAGTTGAGTGACCAAGGACTGCGGATGAGTCATTTGTTTCTGTGCCGTTATGTGGATAACAGGTTAGTTCTGTGTGACCAGTCAACCTCCAACATTCGAAGCATGAAAGAATTCTTGCATTCTGGATTCTATGGTGCTTCCATAGAATTGGAAACTGCGGATGACCATTCCTTGCATTTCTAGGGTTCAAAGTCTGCACGAGCAATCGTACTGTTGAGTATCAGCAGGCGGGTGAGCCGTGGCAGATTCGCCGCTATATTCCAGCGCTGGTTCCAGTCGAATACGTATGTCTGGATTCTATTCTCGAAAAGCACTGATACAGAAGTATTCTTGGCCTCCGGAGCAACGTCAGCGACAGATTCAAGAATTACAGCAGCTGTACCAAGGTCGCGGTTTCACCTTTGGACGATAGTGCTTGCCGACTCATAAACAGCGCAGTGCTCTGCGATGTTAGTTTGGCGTACCAGTGTAGCTGCAAGCTGGAGAGTGCCGACAAATCATCGCATGAAGCATTCTTTGTTCGTGTCAGTCTCTGCTCCAAGCCTCACGCAGATTCATCAGCAGTGTAGTGCTTTACATCTTTCGTCTGCGTTAGTATCAGCACAGCCTCACGATGGAGAAAGCTGAGTCATTCTTGCTGCTCTGTACTGTAGGGCACAGTTCTTTTCAGAGTTCTGCCGGAGGTAGTGTCGTTTGAGCAACATGCCTCGACATAGAAGCAGCACGCCACCTCGGCGCACTTCTCCCGTTGATCGAAGACCTCCACCAGCCAGACGCCGACCCCGTGGCCCTGGCAGCGTAGAAAGCTCTGCTTCCTCTCGGTACCCTGCGGATGCGCGGTGTCCAGTCAATTCCCAGCCAGCTTCTGACTGCGAGTCTTCGATTGCTTGCTTCAGAGATGCTTATTGACCCTCCCATTGAATGGGTGGGCCTGAGTCGGCACAGCATTTTGCAGCCTTACTCACTTCTGCCGGTCGACCAAAAGCTCCGGATCATCTAGTGTGACGGGCGGCTCGGCCCAGCTGCCTATACCTGCTCCTCCGAAGCCCTCCTCTCCTGTGTCTTTTGCTGGCTCAATTCTTCCTCCCCCCTCGTCTCCCTTTCCCTCCCCTTGTGCTTCTCCTCCTCCTCCCCCTCCTCCGCCTCCTTCCTTCCCTCCTCCTCCTCCGGTTTTACCAGCTGATGCAGGAGGACACTGCCAGCCCGTGTCCTGTCGTCAGTGCTTCTGGAGTTGTTAGCGTGACTGCTGGAACTACTGCTAAAGCTTCGATTATCAATGCTTGCACTGTCACCACAACTGCGGCTCTTGCGCCAACCGATCCTGGCGCGGAGCTCGTGCTTCAGCAAGCTGAAAGCACGCTACTGGATGAAGAGACTATGTACTCTTTGCTTCAGCAAGATTCGATGGCGAGTCCTCTATCGTTTCACTGGCAGCTTCCACCTGCTAATCTTCTGAAGTCAGCATTGGGACGTGCAGCATGGTTGAACACTCAAATGCAGTGTTGGCAGCAAGCTTTTGTTGCCGACATTCAGCAGTGTTCGCGTCACATTCTAGGACTGCTGCCTCGCGAAGTTTTCGATTCTGAGAATCAGAGATTGTGGCAAATGCAACCATCAGTGATGCTGACATTTTGTCGTGCTATGGTAGCAGCTGAGTTACCCTATACTGCTGTATTCCGCAGTGTTGCAAAGGTCTGGGCGGCTAACGACCGCATCATTTGGGAATTCGAAGCAAGCGGGATGCCAGGACCCGCACTGGCACCTACTACTGCAAGTACGGGCCACAAAAGGTGGTACCATTGCGGAGCCGACCTCACTCTTATAGGGCTTTTCACGGCTGGACGAATGTTGCGCACATGTTCTGAAACGGTGGGCATGCAGCCGGGTGAAACTCCTTATGGCCTTTTCGGTCGCGCTGGGTATGATCTTGCTCCCAGGGAGAATGCTCGGAAAGTGGCAGAGCTGCAATCTCACTCCAAGAACCGCACTGGAGTCATCGTGTCAGGCCACAAAATGCTCGGATCCAGCACGTATTGGGAAACTTTGGCGTGCCGGGAGCATGAATTGGTCCGCAGTAGTTCTTCTGACAAACGATGGGCCATTCGGGAATCTTCTGCTGCTGTAGATCGCTGTTATTTGGTATGTGTCCGACCGCCCACCACAGTCCGTGTGCCGACGTGGGGCCAGCTTTTGTCCGACACTGCTTCCCAGTCCGCGATCACAGCCTGCTTGATGAATGCGCCGACCGAAGATTGGTGGTAGACCTTTTCGTTAATGACATATGCATGACCAAGAAGTGGAAGGAACAGAAAGGAATGCTTGCCTCTCATGTAGTCTGTGAGTGTTTTCATGCTGCCTGCAGATGCCTGAAAGCAGGGTACTTTGTTCTGAAGGCTCCAAGTGTTAGCATCATGAGACCCATTTCATGGTACTTTCGCTCCGCCTCCGGCGGCGCATCCGCTCTAGAAGTACCGGAATCCTCCTGTGATGGATATTTCTAGCGACCTTGAGTCTCCTGAGCTTGTTTTTGATCTTCGGTCAAGTAGCAGATTTGTCGCTGACATGCAGATTCTTCCCTTGCCAGTGACGTCGGTGGAGTGTAAAGCTCATGTTGCCTTGCGTCAAGGATATATATATATATATATATATATCATACGACGAATTGATGGAGCTGGTACGCTTACTCCCAGCTTCAGATTTGTCTTCCAGACCTATTTTCGCAGATTGCAGCTATCAGCCGTGTGCCTTTATTACAGGAGCCAATGTCTTTGGCGGCACAGCGTCAATGTTCACCAACGTTCGTACCTACCCTTGGATGACCAGATTGCTCTGTGGTATTGCCAGGCGACAAGCGCCATCTATTTGGTTTACATCCATTGCAATTAATTTGAACTGTCGGTTTTTCGAAGAGAGTCTAACAGATTCTCAGTCGCCCGCAAACTGGCCGGCGGCGGTGAAGCTCAAGCCGAGCTAGCCATCCGATACTGGGTTTCCAATCAGTGCCTTGAACAGTATACCTTGTTTCTCGTTACTCCGTGCTCAACCTACAGAGAAGCATGGGTTACTGAGCACTGCTTGATCGGGATGTGGCAGCCCAAGCTGAATCACCCCTACATTACCTCGTATTTGAAACGCAGTGCCTTGGGCTTTAGACCCAACAAGAGAGTCAGGCACAGTGTGTCCTCTCGGTTCGGGCTAAGACTGTGGAGAAAACTGAGAAAGAAGCTCCACAGACAGCTGCAGCCCGTTCCGTTTCAGCTTAAAAGAAGGTCGGCATGGGAGATGCTGTTCAATCTCACATGCTTCAGCCGTGCCCCCTTTGAAGAGGCAAAAAAGCTGCGAAGCGACCACTATCTTCCCGATGAGATTTACTCTCTGATTCGATGGAGCAACTGTTTGGAAGAGCCGGGCAGAAGTAAAGCCAGGAAGGTACTACGAAGTGTTTGCCAAGTACCGCAATATGTCCTGGCCCACAGCTGCTTTAAGCTTTGGATCAGATGTTTCTAGATGGATCCGACAGCTTGTGTTGGAACACAAGTCCATTCTCATACAGTTTCACTTGCCGGTGTGCAAAGTCAGGGATCAACCCCATCAGTCCCTCAAAGACTTTCTGCACAAGTTCAAAGACTGGGACCAATGGCTGCAGACCCATCATGTTGATGAAGCACCATGTCCTTGTTGCTATTATATAAAGCAACTGCCGGAACAATGCCTCACCAGAGGCCATGTCGTGGCAGGTATTGAACAGTTAGGCAGCCTACACCACTCCTTTGAAAAACTCGGGAGTGGTAGTGCATCTTCAGCTTTCTTTCCATCGAAACGAGAATTTTTCAACCACAATACCCGGATGTTTGGGTCTTGGAGGCGCAAACATTGTCTTCCCAAGGGTGTTGAACATGCTTTTCAGAAGCTTCTCGAGCACCAATGGAGCAGGCATCTTGAACACCTGAGCCAAGAACGCCGGCTCACATGGAAAGATGTTTCTGCTGCTCGCAATCTGCTGCATCGAGATTTTGTTGTGCATTGTGAAGATCATGAACCGAACCACCTTATGATCTTCTGCCCAAAGTTTTATCTTCAAGCTGCCATGAAGACGTGGCAAGATCCAGATGTTTTCCATTTCTGTGGAAGGCTCACCATCAAGTTTTCCAACAGATTCCCGGCACATTGAAGCGAAGATATCGCTGGGGAATCAATGCCTCCGGCACCCTACCGGTGGGCTTTGTGTTTCTCAAAAGAAAGAAAAAATTTTGAAGGGGAGGACGATAATATCGTACTCCAACAGTTGCATCAGGACATTGTTGATTGCAGCTGCTCAAGCAATTCTTTTGATGGTTCGCTTGGTGTGGCCTGAAGCCATGGGCTTAGCTACCACACCACAACTTTGGAAGCGACTGCATCAATTTCTTCGTCGCATTCCTTCAGAGGTACATCTTGCTGAGGTCAATGATGATCTAGTGGGATTTTTCAACTCAGTTCCCAGACAGCAAAATGTTACTGCCTAGCGGCTCAAAATCCTTTACCTCTGTGTTGAGAGACTGATCTAACAGCGACAGGTACCAGTCCAGAGGGAGGATTGCACGAGTGTGTGTGTGTGTGTGTGTTCGTCCGCCCTGGTGTGGCCGAGTGCCTCGAGCTCTCTGCTGTGGCTGTTTGCCTGGGTGTGCTGTGGCTGAGTGCCTAAAGCCTTCCACTAAAAGCAAACTCCCATGAGCCCGCAAAGCCTGCGAACGAAGACATGTCACATGCACCACTCCACAGAGACGAATCATAGGAGAAAACCCCACAGCAAAAGTCCCTGCCACCGGCGAGCCATGGGCCCTGCCAGGGCGAGCCAGTTGCTGCGCTGCCCTCCCATGAAGCAGTTTCGTTGTCGTCGCAAGTCACGAATGCAATCTGCGATTTCTGCAACAGTTCTCTCACGAATGCCCTGCTCTGCACTTCCATGGACACGAAAATTCAGTTCCACTCTCCCCGAATCCGCAACATGCGAAACCTGCAACCTGCCAAACATGCCCTTGCCATCAGGTGATACAAGCGAGCCAGGGGCACCGATTTCCCAGAGCCCATCTCGTGGATGTCCACTTCAGTCCATGCCTTTTCCTTTAAAACACACCTTCAAAACATGATATTTCAAAAACCATAAGTTGCCTAAGTCATTTATGCGACTTATGCTAAGTCAACCTTTGTACACTTGATAACTCAGACAATCACATACACAACATGATATGTTCCTCGCTTGACTTACCAACTATATCAACTCACATGTAGCGATTACACCACATATATGTATACATAGCACACTTAAACTCTCTTGACCCTGTTATCTGTTTGCTAAACCACACGCCCGCCCAAGCTGGGCTGCGGGGCCCCGCGCGCGAACTACTTGCTGCGCATCCTGCCGCCGCACCTCACAGCCGACTATGCCGCCGCACACGACACCTCCTTTGCCCGCTGCCTGGCCAGGCTGCTCCAGCAAGGAGACGCGCCTCTCCCGCCAACAAATCTGGGCGCCGCCCAGCTGGCTCAGCGCTTTGGAGGGCTCAGCCTCCGCTCCGCGAGTGACGACAGCAGCGCCGTGCGTTGGGCGTCCTGGCAAGACACGCTGCGAGTCATCAGCGCGCGGGCTCCTGCAGCCGCCGCACGACTCCATTAGGCGCTGCGGTCGCTGCGCAAACGCACTTGCGTCGGGCCGGCCTTTCACAAAGGCTGGCAGCGACTCGCTGCCCGAGCATGCGATGAGCATGCGTTCGAGACGAAGCTTTCTCAACTCTCCCTTGCGTCCCGTGCACCACTGCTCTCGCAAGCCGGGCCCTTTGCTGCCCGATGCGAAGCAAAATCGGCCGAAGGCACGGCAGATGTTGACATGTCGGTTTGGTTCGGGCGGGGAGGCTATTGGTTCTGTGACCGCGGCGAGATGGGAGTTGTTGTTGGCCAGCGGCTACCTATGGTAATGCTTTGCGACAGTGCGACAGGGAGGCTCAACAGGGTTCCGCTGCGATCATGTTTTCTATCGCGGTAGCAGAAATTCTCATGCAACACAAAATCCGAAAGATGTTGCATTTTTTCACATCCCAAGCTTGACGATAGAATATTTGTTCCAGAGGTTCTGGTAGTTCTTTACCGCTTTAGACGGTGCAGCCATGACCACCCCCATCGACATGGAGGGTGTTACTTTGGCAGCAAGATGTGAACCTGCTGGTGGCGATGCAAGATGTGCCTATGAAAACCTAGACTGCCGTAGTGGCTTAGTTGAGTCGTGAATGCAATGTTGAGAACGGTTTTCTTGAAATGGAAAGCGACAGAGGCAAAGTTCTCCATGATCAACAGTTTGCAGTTGCCCTAGATTGCATCGTGCAACACACGAAACCGGTATTGGAAGCTTCTTGTGCCAGGAGAAGTGGCAATGCGCTCTATGACACAATGCAGCCCGGCTGTTCAAGTTTCCCGGGGACAAGGCTGATGCAAATCGAAGATGTTCCACAAGGCTTGCTATGTTGATTCCCTTGCTCTTCAAACTGCCCCTGCCTTATTCAGCTCGGCTCAATCAAGCAGTTGCGCGTTCAGAGAAGGCTGTCTGTGACACGTGAAATTGTGGGATCGTGTGCCGCTCGCTTTTAGGCTTTTCGATGGAGCCTCCAGTTTGCTTCCTTTCATCAACGATGTATGGGCCAAAGTGAAGAAATTATTCAGGAGCTGCTTGCATGCGGCAGGCGGATGCGACCGCACAAAGACTTGCCTTTAACTGCATTCATTCTACGTAGAGCCAGCATCCGAAAACTGGATCAACGCTTTTTGTCAGGAGAGCGCCTCCAGAATACTACCAGCGCACCATCGAGGCCTGCATGCACCACCTCTGCACACAATGGCTACGACTGCGAGCATATAGTGTTTTGAAAGGTTCAGCAAATGCGACGAAGCGATGGGTACTTGTACACCCCTGGACCCGGGTATGACAGATCGACAGTTCTTTTGAGGGCACCCTGTCCGATTTGTCGTGTCCGCTATCTGTGCAGCGTGAGCTTAGCTCTTCGACATGCAAGGCACTGACCCAGTACATTGCTGACAAGGTCTCGTCCTACAAGGAAGCCAAAGTGTCATTGGAGGATCATTACATGGAAGTCGAAATTGATAACGATGATGGCGACGAAGACGATCCTGAAAAAAACACGGAGATTGGGTTCCTCAAGACGTACTACCAGATTACTCAGAAGGTGCCTGAAGAAAAATGGATCGAGGTTGAACCTGGTTTGACGATCTTTCTGAAAGTCAACGAAAGCGAGCGACCTCCGGACAAAGAGAGTGCTGCTTGACGAAATTCGCAGCCTTGGTGTGCAAATGTGTGACAGGAGAGGCAATTAGGATGCATTTCGAGGCGCACATACCAGTCAAAGTTACTACGGAGATGCACATCAAGTCCCTCAAAGAGAAGCAGGCACTGGTACCGTGTAAGCCAGATAGGGCAGGAGGACTTTGCCGTACTCCGTGGTGTCGTGTCAAGGTTGTGGATTTTATAGACAAATCCTACCAGTGGTATTTGGACTTGCAGAGCAAGATGCAGTCCAAGAACAAGTGTCGGTACATGTATGTGTCTTGGCAAAATTCAGATTTCTACGTCACTTCGTACGGTTTCACAAGGTACCACTATTCAATGCCTGCGTGATGACCTTGTTAAGGAGATGATTCCTTCGAAGGCAGAAGAAGCAGAAAAGAGATCGTACAGAAGATACAAATTGCAGCAAGCTCAGCCTTGCAACCGTACATACGGGCGTGTCGCTGGATCCTGCTATCTTCCAGGTCGGGGGACAAGGCGTTTCAGAGCTTGTTCTTTCCCGAGAAGGCTGGTTTGGTTTGCTTGGCCACATGCCAGCGCATGCCATGCGCCTTGTTTGGAGGATACTTTGGTACAGATCTTGGACCACTTCAAGCATCGGACTGGCAAGTGGACCACCACAGTATGGGGCACATGTTGGACGCTCCGGTAACCAATGATTTTTCCGTGGCCTAGTTTCTGTGCACAGTCCGACAAGTTGAGCTACGGCCAGGTACGGTATCCCAGGTTATCCGCACAAGCTGGGGCTGCTGCTCTATGGCCCTCCTGGCACAGGCAAGAGCTACGTTGATTCTTTGTACTGTTCATGAAGCGACTTGTCGCCGCCCGGACAAGGCAAAACCAGCCTGATCAAAGTCCTTGTCTGGTACTCAGCTTGTCTCGTGAGCGTTGATTGCTGCAGCAACAAATGGATCGCCATGAGCTGAGCCCCGGTTCTGTCTTCTTGTGCATCATGCGGCACTGCGCTTCAGAGAGTTGCTGGTTGTTCGTCGCATGTTGCAACGCGCATGATGTCTCTGCTGGGCTGTACATGATGGTTGCGAATAAGCCGTAGCAGTGAAGCTTGCCTCGGCATGTGAGGCGCAACATACAGAGCGTTCCATTGTGAATGTTCCTCTGGCACGCATCAAGACCAACACGGAGTTGATGCAGCTGAAACTTTGCTGTGAGACGGCAGCTAGCGTCTACGTAATTGTGTAAGAAATGACGTGTGGTGCTATTGCTGTGGCAAGGATCTTCGACCAGAAGTACACGGTCGAAGGTATCGAAACCCCAGTGCGGCTAAGAATCAAGGATGTCATCTTCGTCATGGAGGCGCATGAACGGCTGTAGAGCCCTCAGAGGGCAAAATGTCGCGACGGTAAGGATGTGGACGCAGCCTCCCATGTCGTGCATCGCCTGGGCCTCGGGAGACTGGACGGAGACGGAAGACGCTTCCTCCTTGCAGGCCGCGACCAGTCGAAAGAAGCTTTGCGGGAGGAGCTCTTGAGCATGCAGAACTTCGATCGCATCGAGCGCTTGGAGAAGCTAGAAAGGACAGCCGCCTTGTCCTGTTTTTGTTGCTGGGTTAGTCGGTTAGTCATCACTCCCAAGCCCCCAGCATGCACAGGTTAGCCAACAAACTCGAGAAGCATGAGGATTCTGAGTGCTTTGGCTGGAGGAAAGCGTTGAATCTAGCTGAACCCGCCTTAATTGTGGCCTCGACTCTGCCTCTGAGGAAGACGAAGCTGAAAGCAACCCAGGAGCCCCAGAATTTCCTCCTGCACACTCTGCGTTCAGACGGTGCGAAGCCGGCCTCTGAAGCCTACAGAATGAGCCCTGAGTCCTTCGTCAGGAGGGCAAGACAGAAAAGGAAGTGACTGAGCATCTTGGCAGCTTCTCCTTCTTGCATCCTTTGCGACCGGAGTTCGTCTTTTAAGGACCACGGCGGAACAGAAGGGCGTCACACGAGAAGTGGACGGAAAGCTTCTACAGCAGATGCTGGACGTCATCCATGACAAGAGAGGCGGTCTCCTGTTCTCTTCTGCCAGGCCAAGATGCACCGCATGCCTGGCAGGTGGCGAAACGCTCTACGGGGTCGCAGGGCCCTCTGGCGAGGCTACCGGCGGGGACCAGCTGAACCTGGCAGGGATCCTGAACACCCTCGACGGGGTGGTGGACACGCCCCTGAGCCGAATTTACGGCCCGAGAGATTCGGGCCACTGCTGCACGAGTAGCTCTGTTCTCCGTTCTCCCTTTTTCCGATCTCAGGCCTGGGCGCCTACTGGTGGCAGCCCCAGGGACGCTCCCAGCGAAGAGCTCGTTGCAGGCACCGAAGATCACCGAAGCTTCCTGGCAGGTCATGACTTCCAACCATCCTGAGAAGCTGGACCCTGCATTGATCCGGCCTGGTCGCATCGACAAAACCTTCCACTTGACTTACATGGTCGGTCACCAGGCGAGCGAGCAGCCAGAGCTATAAGAGCCACTGTTTCAAGTTTTGTGGTCCAGCCTCCGACGTTTCGACATCTGCCATTCTGACAGGCATGCAACATGGTGGCCCATTATTTCCAGCAGGACCTGTGAGCATGTGACCGTGCAGGCAGTGCAGGCAGGCAACATCTCATATGCCTCCAGTCTGGCTCCTTAGGAAGTCAGCAGCGAGATGCAGGAAAGCAGCTTGGAAAGCATTTTGCCGACATGTGGGATTAATCATTCACGACGGCCCGGACAAAAAGTCTCAGGACTGACCCTGCTACTCGACGGAGGGGTTGAGTCCAAGGACTGCAGTGATACTCTTGCCATAGCAGTGTTTTCGCATGCTTGACTAGTCACCATGCGGTCATTCATGCTATGCCCGCTGACCGACTTTCGCGGCTGTTTGGGAGGCTTTGGAAATCACTCCGGCGCGGTTGGAGCAGCTTTGCGCAGAGCACGACACTGCAGAGGAGTCTTTGGGGGCATCTTTTAGCACTTGTGGAGAGCACCACTTTGTCCCTTTGGTTGTTCTATCACGAAAGCTAGCTCTGTTGAGCTTGCGGGAGTTGTCCTTTAGCAATTCACCTTACTAGGGAAAAAACAGGGTTTGGAGCTTATCAGGTGGGACGTCCAAGAGTTAAGGTCGGGGGTGGGAGGGGAGGGGGTGCCGCCCCTCCCCCCTACCCTCAGGTCTCCCCCCCTCCCCCCCCCTTCGCAAGGTCCCTCATTTTGCTTCTGTTTGACGTCTGTTGCTTGCGCCTAGGCTTCAATCCCCCTAGCTTTCGTCGCCCTCTTCTCAAGTGCTTCATGCAGAGCTGGAAAAGGTTTGTGGCAAGCTGTGTTTGCTGTGGAGCGCGTTCAACATGCAAGACTTGCGCTTCGGCTGTGAACTTGAAGCTTCCTCGGAGGACCTTTGCGCGGCTTTGGAGCTGTTGTTGGAGCCGCAGCCGAAGGTGCCAAGCCAAATTTCGCCGTCACAGTCGTAAGACAACTTCAAATTGAGGTTGAACCACCATGCTATAGAGCTAGTACAGTAGCTTCACGGCTTCCGCATCTATATAGCGCTCTAGCAACGACCAACTGGCACTGGCGCATTCTCCTCAGCCAAGGTCAAGCTGTACCGAGCCGAAAGTGCTATCTGCCTCAGGACAGACAGAGAGGGCCCTTGTTGATATTCTCGACGTCAGCACAAGGGAGTTCAGATCGCGCCAGAATTTGCGTGTAGAGTTGCGAAGTAGTTCGGGTAGCAGAGCTCATTGCAGGCAATCCTGCCCTTTCTGTCGACTGAGGTTAGTGCCGAGAAGACCCTCGCAAGCATCCAGCGTTCTACGACGGCGCCCCCCGACACCGGCGAAAAGCGGGCGAAATGCTGGTAGTGTCCAGTTTCCAGGCTGCCTCGAGAACAGCTTTTCTGGAGGCGGTCTTGCCAGGTGCACCAGTCACCGGCTGCAGGCTTTGTACAGTAGTCGAGTAGCCATCGGTTACAGTTCAACAAAAGCTTCGGCTGTGCGTAGCAGCGCCGCGAAGGATTTTGCCATTGCAAGCTTCGAAATGCTGGACCAGCGGTGTAATTGGTGCCTGCAGCAGCAGAGGCACTCATTGCTGTTGTCTCTGTTGTTGTTTGCCACTCGGCTGAGCGCATATGTGGTGCAGCCCCATGGCATGCGCCTGGTCTTCCATGCCGTGGCGGACTCGCACTTCTGCAGCAGGGACACCTGATGAGAGAAAGAGATTCAATAGTTGCAGGCCAGGCCGGGGCTTGCCTTACCCTGAGCTAGAGGATTCTGGCACGGCATTTATTATGAGGAATTATGAAGTATGTTGATCGAACAACTATGGCCGCAAGAGTCCGGGAGAAGCGGATGTAGTGTATGACAGTGTATGATATCTATCTCGGGGCCCACCCCCCTGCAGGACCACCGGACCACCTACTCCCCGTGAGCCTCCGACAGTGCGATATCTGTCAAGAACTTCAAAGCGCACACCGAACTGCTCCTGTACAGATGAGTCAGATTGGGTCGTCTTAAGACCATGTACAGTGAGCATTGCGTTGCTCTCCAGAATGACCAGCTCGAGCTGCTCCCCTACTCTTCCAACCTTACTCTAGCTTGCGTAGCCCAGAACTCCTTTATCTGTGTAGCACAGGCAACGCCATTTGTTCCCGCGGCTCCATGCGTCCGTGTATGTCTGTTTGTTGCCTCATGCGATGTCACCAACACCAACACGGTCTCCAGCGAGAGCCGCAGGTGGAAAGCAAGGTGAGGCTAGTGACTAGTGCGTGTAGCCGGCATGCTTGGAGATCTCCATTAGATCGTGCCCACTTGAAAGCCGATGCGCTTCTGCGAGTTGGCGAGTCGAAATTCTAACGTACGGGCCAGGTGCCTTATTATGGTGCCTTTATGGGGGGCTTGGCTGAACGTGGCAGCCAGTGCGAAGAGCCCGTGGGCCTGGTTTTGTCATGTGACTCTTCACGCAGTTTCCGGAGTCTTCGGCCATCATCTTCCATTGCTTTACAAGTTATTACAGGTTGTAGGAGTTTGCTGACTTGTACCGCAAGGACAAAACCAGGTCCTGCTATCGCGCACGTCAGTGCTCCCTGCACAGATGCTACGGTATGATTATACGGGAGGTTGTGTCTGTCCACAGGTTGAGTATGCTTTCGACTTGACTCGTGCAGGTGGATCTTTTTGAGGCGGCGGCCGTTGAGCTGTCTGCATCAAACTTCGGAGAGGGCCAGTGGCACAAAAGTTTCTGGCATGGCTTTCAGTGCATGCTTTGGCGAGGCTCGTTTGTTGGGCAGGGGCTGCATGAGACATGCCAAAAGATCCGGATGCTTGTCTCGCCTCCTTGACGCAGCTCCAAGTCTGTGCGACGACTCCTGCTAGCTGCCCTGCACATGCCTCTGACGCCTCACAGGGCGCCAGGTGCGATGGGGCCGAGTCGGCACGCCTTGCCCGGCGGCTTAGAATCAGGGCGTGGATGTTTCGATGGCAAGGTCTGTTCGCAGTCGCAGTGGCGCTCGTTCCGAGCTCAACCGTCTGCTCATCAGCGATGGCCGTCGGAGTCTGTGGACTTGTTCCATACAGACCTTGGGTCAGATGCAAGCCTCGCATATTCAACCTGATGCTTTCACTTGCAGCTCTGCGATTAGCTCCTGCGAGAAGGGGGCTTGGCAGATTGCCCTCTGCTGCTTCAGCAGTCTGTGCAAATCTGTCCTTCCCAACGCAGTCGTGCAGCTCGCCAGTGTTGTGTGAGAGGGGGGGAGCTTCCGTCCTCGCACACTTTGGGCTGTCTGGCTGAAGTCGAGCTTAGGTACACCACCCTGATGATGGCCTTCAGCAGGTATGGAGAGTGGCGACAGGCCCTCGACCTGTTCCGGCGCCTGGTTGCGGAGAACGTGCAGATGGACATTGTGCTGCACGGCGCCGCTGTGAAAGCCTGCGAGGAGGGCAGCCAATGGCAGGAGGCCCTCTGCATCCTCCAACGGCTCGCCCAGCGTGCGTTGGTCCCGGACACGACCCTGCTGAACTCGGCTATCAGTGCTTGCGAGAAGGCTGAAGAGTGGCCCTGGGCCCTCCACTTGCTCCAGACACTCTCGGACTGGGCCACCTGGCCAGCAGTTTTTGGCTGTACCTGCTTCCACCGTATCGTGACTGTGCCAGGGTGTTTCTGGCGTCGCCTCAGGTCCTCCGTGCCGATGCCATTTCTTTCAGTGCCGCGATCAGTGCTTGCGAGAAAGCCGTGCAGTGGCAGCAGGCACTGCTCGTTCTTGCCGATGTCGAGCGCAGTTCGCTGGAACTGGACATCATCCTTTGCAATGCCGCTCTCAGCAGCTGCACCAAGGGTTCCTTGGCTGAGCACTCCGAAGCCATGAAGTGCTAGCCCGTAAGCCCGAATTTGTTGGGTTCGGCGTCGGCTTGGTGTCGGTGAGGAGCCTGGAGGTGCAGCTTGCAACTGCTGAACACTTTGGCTCGAGCCTCGGAGAGTCGGAAAAGCGCTAAGCGCCTCACGGCTTCCGCAAGAAGTCTCACCACTCGCCAATTCCTCCTTTCGTTGCCTTTGTCTTCTTGCCTTGCCTTCTTGCTCCGGCTCTTCAGGAGCAGCGTGCAATGGCGGCCAGCCGGATCACCTTGAATGCAGCAACGGCTGCGGCCAAGCCATGGCAGTTCCTCAGAGACAACTTGACAAGTGGGGAGGGTCCGGCAAAAGCGTTGCAGCCGCCTCAGGCCGTTGATCTAGAATCTAGACTCATTCCCGGGCTTAGCATCGACCTCTCACAGATTTTCAACACAAGAAACCAGGCAGCTTCTGAGTCCGAGGCTTGCTTGGTGCCTCTTGCCCAGCTTCACATCCCGCACCCTCCGGACCGATGGATCCTCAGAGAAAGGCGTTTCAACACGAGAGCGCAAAGATCCTTTGTCTGAGGATGTGATCGCGTACAATTCTGTGGTGTCCGGTGTCGCTGACTGGCCGGTGGCCTGCCAGCTGCTCCGCAACATTGCCGCCCGGTCTCGCATTCCCTTTTGAGAGTGTTGGCTGACACTCGATGTTCAGGAGCATGCCTGCAGAAAGTAACGTCGGCATCTCTGCAACTCAGGAGGAGGTGTTTCTAAACGCTTCAGTGGTGAGCTATACGGCAGCTTTGGAAGCTTTCGCCCCGCCCAAAGACGCGGTGTCCCCATCCGCCGGATGGCGGCACGCTTTGCAAGTTCTCTTTGCCGCCCCGTGCTACAACGAAGTAACTTTCGAAGCCGCCATCCGAACTTGTGCCGAGCTCAGCTGAGCTCAGCTGATTCCTCCTGTGAATTCATTCGCCGCTGTCTTCGCGCGCCAAGGCGTCGCTGCCCAGAGGGGATTCGCAGAAGAACCGTTGCCGTTGCATGCCAATCTCGTGGAGCCGACAATTTGTAATTTGTGCAGAGACAGTTTGCTACCGATACCTGACGGCTGACGGGTCTCAGAGTAGAACAGAACAAGTCACAACCAATTTCAGGCAGAGCTAGCCAGAAACTGCGCTGTTATGCACCAAGATCATGCACGATAAGGCGCGGACCACACATTACAAGTAGCTGCAGAGTACCTGCACGCAGCGGTCAGGAATTATTCAGGTTTCGCGTAGTGGCGTAGTATGTCTCGTCATGGCGCCGCAGCTTATCTTGCCTCGGGACGCTGCAGAGCTTCGGCGAGCCTGTGCGGCGGACAGTGGGGAGGGACGGGGGGAGAGTCGAAGTTGGTCATCCTCACATCTAGAACGGGAGGGATGCGTAAGACGTCAGAGCAGATATGACCAGACGACTTCGGGCTGAGCATGTTGACCAGGACTTCGAACAGTGTTCTCCACCGGATCCCGCATCTTGGGCGCAATCATTCGCAAGGCCCTGAAAAGTTGTGTCAAGCCAACCTGTTGCTGCCCCAGGTTGAGTGCAGCATTTGCTTGGAGGGCGATGCCAATGTGCTGCTGCCATGTGGCCACCGCTACCATGCAGACTGCTTGGACCGGTGGTTCGAAACTCGTCAGGTCTGCCCCACCTGCGGAAGAGCTTACGGGGACACTGTAGGAACGATGCCAGATGGAGTGATGAGCTGGCATTTTCGAAAACAGCGCCTGGCTGGCTACAGCTGCCCTACCGTGGTCCTTCATTTCTTCTTTCCGCGCGGTACAGTCGACGGAGAGGAGTTTGAGGGTCGATCGCAGCATGCATATTTGCCGGACGACGAAGAAGGACGTTCTCTCTTGGCCCTCTTCCAGTTGGCTTTCCGTCGAAGACTCCTTTTCGGTCTAAGACCTTCTTTGACGACAGGGCGCCTGCGGCCGACATTTTCCATCCACATGAAAACGTCCAAGCCTTAGCCTGGGCCCGGTGTTGCGCTCATGATCTGTCCCTAGAGATCCCTTTAAAGGGGGAACAACCGTAACCCCCAAATCCTCGCCAAGGCGGAGGTCCTGTGCTTTTTGCCTTTTCCGAGTTTGTTCAGACGTGCCTTGCTGGCCTCGTAGCCAAAAAAGCCATTTGGGCTTAAGGATAGAACAGTAAGCAGATGGCAAACATTCTGCCGCCAGAGGCTACAAGGCCCTTCAAGGCGCCACGTACAGCCACTCGCATGGAAGATGACAAGGCGGGGAGTCCGCTTGTTACGAGCCTTCCGTCAACTCCCAGTGCAGCGCCACCGAAGACACCACCACACTTCAGCAGAATGTTTGAGTCGCCGAGTTCACAGAATGGCGGAGGAACAGGTGCTAAGAACAGCCCTGCTATCTCTGGAAGTCCTGCAACCTCCGCTTGGATGAGCCCAGTACGTCGTCTAGCACGAGTGGCTGAATTGCAGGCCGTAGCCAATCAACCTGAAATCGAGTTAGCAAAACAACGGTCGGAAGAGCGATCAAGAACCGCTTCTCTTGCAGAAGGCTTAGTCAGCACAATCAAGAGGAACAAATTTGGCATAACACGCATCCGTGGCTGGAGTTTCTATTCACTGCTTTTGTGTGAAGCTTCTTTCGCTGATACCAAGCAGCTTCTAGCGGACGTGGATGCTGGAGTGAAGGAAGCACAGAAAACATTCCAGAACAAGGAGGAGCCTTGCAGTTTGATGAAGTTCCTAGAAATGCGTTGGTCGAAGCAAGTGGATGAACTTCCAGTAGGTGTCACTGCTGAAGAAGGCATACACCAAGTCTCTTGGCTACATTTGGTGAGGTTTGAAGGTTTCGGTGCAACCCCATTGCAATGCAGGAACCCGCCGCGCGGCGGATTCATGTTTGGGGTCGCAAACTAAGGTGAACATCATGCTTGGCGGCCCTGGCACTACGAAAACAGCGACAGCTTCGACATTATGGCTGCCACTGCTTTATTGCAGCGTTCTGTGCCTGTCAACTCATTGAATGATGCGCAGCACTCACGCACAAAGCCATGGACGATATTCAGACTCAGACAAGCATTGCTTACGTCTAGACCAAGTTCACAGACGGTCATGGAAGGAGCACTGCGTCATCCTCGACATGAGTTAACACGCTTCTCTATGCACTCGCTTTGCTTCGTGATGGGAATGGCTTGCCGAAGAGACTAGCGCATTATGCTCGGACAATGCATCGGCAGAAGATTACATTGGATGGGCTCATATTCTTGTATCTTACCAAATCTGCTGCCAGAGCACTTAGCCTGGAGAACTTTATACATGCAAGCATGCGAGCATTCCATTCGGAAATGCTCGTCTCGGGCATTGTCTTCGGGAATTATGCCAAGCAGAACTCTCGTGAAATATATAAAATCGAGGCGAAGGACATTCTGGACAAGCTCGCATCCCGTGGTGCTCGCATGTCTCCAGCTGCTTTGCAGCAGGAAAGACAAGACCTAGATCAGAAACGCAAGGCTGCAAACAGCCGCAGGCACAATCCGATGCGGCGCCCTGCTACCATGAAGCGGCCTGCTGCTGTGACTAATGTCCCATAGACCCATAGACATTTTTTTGGTGAAGACTTGATGACTCCCATGTACAGACACGCGTTTTAAGTCCACAGCCGCGAATTGCATGATTTGTACAGATTCAGTTTATGGTTCCGACAGTGTATTTTCTGCATTTTGAGCCTCTTGCTGCGAAAATATCAATATGCACCGCACATATTCTGGTTGCACGAGTGACTCGCAGTGCTGTGTTGCAATAGATTCGCAGCGAGTCGCCCCATCCTTTCCTTGCTATGTTGTCGGATGTCCTGACAGGCACCCGCTTGCGATCACCATACAGGTTTCAGTAGGTTGTCGTAGGAAAATACAGGTTTCGATAGGTTTTCGTAGGAAAATACAGGTTTCAATAGGTTCTCGTAGGAAATGCAGGTGTCAGTAGGTTTTCGTAGGAAAATACAGGTTTCAATAGGTTCTCGTAGGAAAATACAGGTTTCAGTACATAGGTTTTCGTAGGAAAATACTGGAGGTCCATGAGTGGTGGCCCAGCCCGACACGGGTACCCGGATCCGCAATACTACAGAAACGCCGTGGAAGAGCTGCGATTGGCAGGTGAGCGCCTCAGGCTTCGCGTAAAACAGCGTTTTGAGTCTTTCTTTTGTGAGGCATCGAAATCGACGCGGCACTGCCGGTGGCAGTGTCTCTCCACAGAAGCTCCTACGGGTGTGCCAAATGTGGGCGAGTCACAGAGCCTAGGTTCAAGTGGTGGAAGTGGCAACACAGTAGCTCAGTACCGCAACGAGGGCTGCGGCTCCCGGCTCGCTTTCGAGGTGGCTGTTCTCAACGGCCTAATCTACCCGGTGACCCCTCTGGTATGCACGGGGGCCTGTCTGTGGAAGCAAGATTCAGCTTGGGCTTGGGATGTCTTTAAGGCTTTTTCGCGCTGGCAGCGACAGGATCCGACAGAGAGCTGTGCAGCCGCGCGTGCCGCAGCCTGCAGTTGTGCGCAGGAGAAGGGCGCATGGCGGTGCTGGCTGCGATTTCAGTCGAAGCCGGGCTGACCCTCCCGGCCTTCCCGTCCGGAGCTGATAAACGGCTCCAAAAACTCCGCTGCGACGTGCACTGTCGCCAGGTCCACGCTGGGATTCCTTTTGTGGATCCTTCTAACCACGCCGCATCGATGCATTTGCCTCGGTGCAAAGCTGTGGAGATGCCGGATGCATCTCAGGATCGCGTACACATCCCTTGACTTGGTCTGCATGAACCTGGGCTGCAATTCGTGTGTTCGCCTACTCCAATACAGCTTAGTATTGGGTTTCTTATCGCTCAGGCTGGCCACCGGCATTGCAAACTTTTACGTCGTGTTGCGACTACTTTTGCAGCACCGATACAGCTGCTTCGACACAGCCACTTCTTCGGCATCCTCTCATGTCACTGGGAACGGACCAAGGCTGAGGCTTGAGGCAGGGCTCATACAGTGTCAGGTTGCGAGCCGGGCACGCCCCTGGGTGGCAAACCGCTGCTAAACGGCACCCAGTCATGAGTCCCAAGTCCCACTGCCTACTGAGCCTACTGCTATCCGACCTAGGCCTGTTCCAGCTGGGTCTCCTGAATCTGGTGATCCTTTATTCTGGCATTTGGCAATATACCTTCGGCAAGGTTGCTCTGGCAGGAGCTGCCCCTTGGCCGATGTGTGCTGACACACTGAGTGAGGCGTGAGCTTTGCCAACTTTGCAGCAAGAGACGGAGACGGCAGACCGGGCTTGAAGCTATCAGGGGATTAGATGCGGGTATACATCGCACATCATGAGTTACTTCGTACTGTCATTGAGAGCGAGGCTGCTTCTTTCCTGGCGCAGCTCTTGCGGAGAGCTGGGTATCGAACCCCTGCATGGGTCCAGGCAGCACTGCGTCTTGACACGGCGTCCTCCCTTGTGGTCTGTCCCCCCCGAGCTGCTGCAAGGATACTACGACCCCCGACTTGCATGCCGCCCTCGAGATGGCGCCGTGGCCGGGTTGCCAGGCGCGGTTTGCATGCCCTGCACTCGAAGACTCGAGTCGAAACTTGAACAGGAGCCAGTGGGAGATGTGGGCCCCTTTCGACGCTTGCAGGCAAGGCAGCTTGGAATCTGGAACAGCGTGAAATAGCATGAAGAAGCTCTGGCGCCCATCAAGACCTTTCGTCAATCCGTGTGGCACTACTGTCTCGGAGAGCTTTCCCAATCTTAAACTGTTTTCTCTATCTCCTCATTCTCTCTCCCGGTGTGTTTGGCGTGTGTGTGTGTGTGTGGCGTTGTGTGTGTGTGTGTGTGTGGGTGTGTGTGCGTGTGTGTGTGTGTGTGTGTGTGTGTGTGTGTGTGTGTGTGTGTGTGTGTGTGTGTGTGTGTGTGTGTGTGTGTGTGTGTGTGTGTGTGTGTGTGTGTGTGTGTGTGTGTGTGTGTGTGTGTGTGTGTGTGTGTGTGTGTGTGTGTGTGTGTGTGTGTGTGTGTGTGTGTGTGTGTGTGTGTGTGTGTGTGTGTGTGTGTGTGTGTGTGTGTGTGTGTGTGTGTGTGTGTGTGTGTGTGTGTGTGTGTGTGTGTGTGTGTGTGTGTGTGTGTGTGTGTGTGTGTGTGTGTGTGTGTGTGTGTGTGTGTGTGTGTGTGTGTGTGTGTGGTGTGTGTGTGTGTGTGTGTGTGTGTGTGTGTGTGTGTGTGTGTGTGTGTGTGTGTGTGTGTGTGTGTGTGTGTGTGTGTGTGTGTGTGTGTGTGTGTGTGTGTGTGTGTGTGTGTGTGTGTGTGTGTGTGTGGGTGTGTGTGTGGGTGTGGGTGTGGGGGTGTGGGGGTGTGGGTGTGCGTGTGTGCGTGGGTGCGTGGGTGCGTGGGTGCGTGGGTGCGTGGGTGCGTGGGTGCGTGGGTGCGTGGGTGCGTGGGTGCGTGGGTGCGTGCGTGCGTGCGTGCGTGCGTGCGTGCGTGCGTGCGGGGGTGTGGGTGTGGGTGTGGGTGTGGGTGTGGGTGTGGGTGTGGGTGTGGGTGTGGGTGGTGTGGGTGTGGGTGGTGTGGGTGTGGGTGTGGGTGTGGGTGTGGGTGTGGGTGTGGGTGTGGGTGTGGGTGTGGGTGTGGGTGTGGGTGTGGGTGTGTGTGTGTGTGCGTGCGTACAAATTGCGTCGGTTGTGCGAGTGCAAATACAGGGGCCTGAGCCCCCATCAAGCCCGGAGCTTGTGCAAGAGCTTGAGGCCGGACATGCTCATGTCCTTGCTCCCCTGCTAACGGAGGAAGTGGACAGCCTTAACCAAGACCAAGTCAGGCAAGAGTCCGGGCATTGATGGGATCGTCTGCGCGCAGTCTTGGTTGCAGAGTATTTACAGTACGGTCTGCGTGGACTCAAAACCCACTTGGCCGCATTGTCGTGCAACACACGTGTGTGCAGGGACAATCCGGCGAACGTCGATGCCGTAGCTGCTGCCGGCTCGACGTGGCCCGGTCTGCCGGCGACGCCATGTCCTCGGCGTCCTCGAACGTTTCTTTGGACGATGCCGTGGCGGAGATTCGGCGCGCCCTGGCGACCGCAACGCGCTTGTGGCGGCGCTCTCGAATCCGTGGCGGGGACGACTTGGTCACCGATTCCCTTCCACGGGGTGAGCCCGGCGTACACAAGCACAGTGCAGCAGACCGCGGGGGCCACCGATACCGCGGCGATGTCAGATCCGTTCGCGGAGCCCCGGCCAGTCAAGACGCGCCTTCCAAGGGCCTCCCGCAAAACAGGCAGCAGTGATTCCTGGCACACCGGCGAGCGTGCCGTGCTACGCGGCTAGCCGGACCGGCTGCCGCCACCAGTGAAGGCAGCCCCGGCGGTGCTCTTCGACGGCAACTTCCACCTCGCGTTCGCCAGCGGCATCTTCCACCTCAGGCCCACCACAGCCCGGCAGCACGGCGGAGCACTGCAGAATGCAGGAGGACATCGCAGAGCAGATACGTGCTGGCGCACCGCTGGCGGCTTCGAGTGGTGCACTCCCGGCAGCACCCGTGCAACCACCGCCACCGGCGCCACCTGGCTTCCTCAACCTCCAGGTGCGCGGCGTCTGGTGCACGGTGAACCGCGACAATGGAGAAGGTTTTACCCGGAGGCCCCCCGGCGGGTGCCGCACGGTGATGCGGCGTTTCGGCGGGTGATGGACACAGTTTGTGGACCGTCGCACGCTGGCGGGCGGCGGGCCAGGGGTAGCTGAAGGCGTCCTCCGGCGCCGGCCAGCCTAGCTTTGCGGTTGCGACGGGTCCAGCGCGATGCGCTTCACACCACCTCCAAAAGGTGCTCTGCCCGACGTAACGTTTTGGATGCTCGTCGGTAGTACGGCTTGTCCGGCGGATATTTGTCCTATGTCACTGCCTAGTGGGGCAGTGAGATCTTGTTAGCATAACTTGCAGCATGGACTTCGCAATTTACTGCATGTGGCTGCCAATCTGCATGCCGGTTTCTGCTTACTTTCGGAGCACTGACCGCACAGACAGTCCGCCGTGCCTCGTGCGTGAGAGTGGTGAGGCCCTGAGACCCTCCGTAAGAGAGATCCTTGCTCCGACTGCTTATATTCGGATTGGAAACGTCTCCGACGTTTATTTCCGTAGAAAGAGGAGTGCTTTCTAGTTTCACTGGCTCACCTCGCAGAAGCCCGCCCCTCCTTCAGAACACCTACTGTCCGAGTCCTCATTCGTTGTTGACCTATGTTGATCAACGGGCAGGTTGAATCCTCAAGCCGGCCGCCGAACAGTAGCCAAGTTGCCGCCCTTCCGATTCGAACACATTTTTTGGCTCTGCAGAGCCCGCATTGCGAGAGTCCAATGGGGTTTCTAATGGAGGTTACTGTGTGTAGGAACTACGAACTTCCGAAATTATCCACCTCGTGATTGTTTCAGGGTTTCATGCAGCAGGGGACTCGAGGGGGTGCAAGGGAGCTCCGTCCGCCGAAGCTCCCCTTTACTCCCCAGGCAAGCGTATCTACTTGTGCCCACTTTTGGATCCCGGCTTGGGAGCCTCATATCACTCTCATCTTCACCTCACCACGTGCTACATCATTCCCCGTGACTGATGTAGCGGGGCAGGAGCTGTACCCCATGGCACATATGAAGTATGATAGTGTGGCCAAGCGCCACGAAGAGGCCGTGTGCAATTACCTCAGCTTGTTTCAGCCTCGAGTCTTTAGTGATAGGTTTGATGGACCTTGCTTTGCTGGGAGCGGTCTTGGTGATTGGACTTTCCTGGGGATCATACGTTTGGGGTCCGAAGCCAGAGAGAGTTTCTGCTGCGCCCTGTGTTTGTCATTGCGACTGCATCTCAAATCCAACCCCAGACTTTTGTGGTAGAGAGCTGCTCGCCTGGTCGCTGGTCGGTCTAAGCTGTCTGGCCTTTGGTGGCTATCTCGTCTACGTCTACAATTGGAAGCTCGAGTCATTGTCTGCGGTCTCTAAGGGCAAGGGCAAACGAGGAGTGTTGGGCAGTAGCTTGGCTCTTGCCTTGAAATGATCTCTGTGGGAGACATAGCTTTCGTTAATTATGGCGAAGTTCCACCATGTGTTCATGCTCGCTTAGTTGGGGCCCATGTTCATAACGACGTGTTTGTGATCGTGACGCCCGACTGGGATATCTACGAGGAGCAACTGTCCCATTTGAACCCTGACTACACTGAGTTCCATCATGCAGGTCCAGGGTTGGGTGCAGCGATTCCTGCGGGGATTAATCCCGCCCATGTTTACACTTTCGGGGCTCTGACTGCCATCGAGTACCAGCGTCTTATGCATCAGGCCAGTTTGTATGCAGCTGGGCTTCGGGCAGGGCTAGGTCTGCCTGCTCACCCTGGGGCGCCTGCGGCAGCTGCACCTGCCGCAAGCGGTTGCACCGGTCAACCCCACGGTGTGGGTTGCGCTGGAGTCGCGTGGAGGCACCAGGGCCGGATCCGTGGTTGTGCAGGCGGGGCAGCCCTTGCCTGCTGGAGTAGTTCAACAAGGAGATCGTGCGATTCTGGACTTGGGTGGTGGACAACAGTTGTGCCTCAAGCAAATCGATGCCGGTCTTGTGGGCAGCATGGATGCCGAGGACTTGCGAGTGCTGCCTTTGAGATTTGATCCTCAGGGGCAGCGCCGGGCTGAGTTTGCTGACATGGTGGCTCTCATGAAGCAGGTCGACATGCCTGGCGGTAAGCTTCAGCTAGATGGTCCGCCGTCCGGCCTTGAGGTGATGAAGTCCATGGTGATGCGAGGCCTCACCCCGGTCACCGACCATGAGCATTGGGTGCGAACCCATGAGTTGGCCAAGGGCGACAGGAGCGTCTACGAGATGGAGGTCATCACGCGCGTTTTGGAGGCCATGGCGACCGTGGACCAGCTCAATCTCCAAACCTCAAGGGGGCCGAGCTCTTGATCAGGAGGTGGCAGCTCATCCGCGAAGCGCACAGGATTTCGCCCACATCGCCGGACTACTCGGCGGCGGATGTCTTCATGGGCTGGGCATACCGTCGCGGTGATGGTGTGGATCCTAGCCTCGCGAAGTATGTCGCCGGCGAACTTCGGGATCAGGCTTCCATTGCGAAGGAGGCCCGCAAGGCCAAGGAGGAGATGGAGCAGCGAAGAAAGACTGGCCGGCAAAACCCCAAAGGTGGAGGGGCGGCTGGCGGGGCGGACAAGTGAGAGCATCGAGGGGGTCACGCTCTTCTCCGTGGGGGGTGGCCTCTCATAAAGTTTTCCATTCACGGGGAGTCCTTTTAAGCCGAGCTCGCTTGGTACAGTTTTGTGTTCGAGACTGAGTATGTCCAGCCCTTGCGCTTCGACGGGCCGATGGCGAGATCTTCTTCCTTTGCCTCTTCTTCAGCCCGAGGGCCGCCGGCCACAGGAGTTTTTCAAGGAATCGGTTTGTTCAAGGCGACATCGCAGAAAGCGAGAGCAGAACTTGGAAAGAACCAACGAGGTAATCTCTGCTCTCAACAACATGGCGGGCTTCAAATTTTCATCGTGTGGGCCGCCTTCTCAGAACCAAGCCGCTGCTCAGTCTCTTTTGTTGCGGCAAGTCATTGACTTGCCCAAACCCGAAAGTCAAGTGTTCCAGCGTGAGGCCGTTCGTGAGCTTCTGCTTGAATGT